GGTAAAATAGGTGTATACCCTACAGATACAGGGAAACCATCCTGTTGTGTCTGTGCTGCTCTTTTAGTCAGTCCTTTGTATCTTCTGGCTCTGTGCTACCTGCATTGTATAAAGGTGAGAGTGTGTGGTTTGCCTTATGCTGGGAGAGGAAACAATAGGTAGCTGTAGCATGTTCCTACCCTGCACTCCCAAATGATTGCCCATGGTGGGGAGGGAACCTTTCCTTCACAGGATCCTGCCAAATGTTCCTGATTGGGGTGGGAGATTTTCCCTTCAATGAGGCTTCCCTGGACCATGCAGAGGATGTGTGGAGACAGAAACCTCCTGCCTCCATAGGAAAAAATTTTAAGATTCCTTTTGCCTACCACAGTGTCTTTTCCATCCCAGTGAAGGAAGGAGATGCCCTTTATGATAGGGCTATGGGACAATATAATGAGCTCATAGCATTCTCTAGGGATACCTCATAGACATGGCAGGCAGCAGAAGCTCTGGTAAAGGGAAGAATCTGACTTTGTATTTTCTACGTGTGCAGCACTGGCAGTTGGGATGATGTAACCATCTGTGATCTCAGCAGCCCTTCTGTTATGCAGGAGCTTTTGTCCCTGATGGGGTAAATGTTTGCAAACCATTGTCACTCCAAATCTGAACAGCTTTTCTCTTCTTTGGATACAGGATCTGGATAATCTGATTCAGGATATGGACAGTGATGAAAACAAGGTAAGTAGAGGAACTCCTTTAGCAAGAGCTAAACAGCCTGGTCTTGGTCTGCAGGCTCAGTTTTGCCATCTTTTCTTTCATCCTTACTCAGGCCAAAGTTTTGAAGGCAGCTTCCTAGATTGTAGGAAGCACAGGGAATTCCTCAAGGCTGTGTTGTTTGTGACTGTAGAGCTGCAACATGAAGGTAGTGATTGATGTTATCTCTGTTGGTTCCTTGACAGCTCTCAGAGTTGAGAGGGATGTTATAGTGAGAGGAAAAGTATTTCAGAAGGGCTCATTGGTGGGTTTGTTGGTTTCGTTACCCACCTTTCACATCCAGTGCATGTAAGTTTCCAGTAATGGCAGAGAGGACTGATGAGGAAAAACAAACCTCCAAGACGAGATCGTTTCAGCTTACTGTTTCAGAATTAGCCTGTTTCCATTGTGATCAAGAGTTAAATGCTAAAACTTCTCCAATTCTGGTATACTCTTTTCTTAGAGAAAGCGAGGCCTAAACGCTTGGTTTCTTTCTTAGCTTTCATACCAGGCTGCCAAGCCACTGGAGAGTCACAGATAGATATGTGAAGTCTAGATACATATTTATAGATGAAGCAGCTGTGGCTTGGAGTTTGTGGATTGCCATAGATCTCGAGTGGCATAGCTGGGAATAAAATATTAACATTTGTGACTCTCCTCTGTTCTGCTCCAACTGACAAACGCAGTATTTTATAGAGATTGAAAAATGGGCTTTTCACTCTGCCTTTATATAAGATTTATCCCTGGAAGATGTGAGCTGTTGAAGTAGCAATGGAAGAAAATTACTTTGCTATCAGGATATGGTAGCAATGCACATGATAGGATTCCTGATGTTGATTTCATGGTGATACTCTAAAGGAGTTTCCACAAGAGACAAACTTAATAAAACGCAGCTGTCTGTTCATCTTTTACATTGCTATCTGCTCCATGCCATGTTCTGCTTCACAATGTGCTGCTACTGCCTTGTACAACAGGTGTCTTGAACTAGATGATTCCAGTGATTCCTTTCTAAAGCTTGCCCTGTTAGTTTACTACAGCTTTCTAACCAAGTTCTGCCTGCCTTTGCTGCTTCAGATCCAGGCCTACGTGATGTGCAACAAGTTGCGTTCTGCCTATCTAGTCTCGGTGAGACAGGAGAAGACTAGAGCAGTGCAGCTCGTCCAGCACGTGCGACAGCTGGCTGAGAACAGCGGAGATGACGTTGTGAAGGCCATCTGTACCCAGTGGCTCTCAGTGCACCAGCCCAAAACGAGAAATCGGCTTCCCCAGGGCACCAGGAAGTAATGAGTAATTGATATCCACCACCACACAGGAGGAGAAGGCTTCAAGACGGCTTAAAGGCGTGCGGTTCAGCAATCTCTTGGTAAAATGGCAGTCTCTTGACTGATGGTGGTGGCAAATGGATGCTGCTAATGTGCCTCTGGTGAAAGGAAGGGAACTAAACTACAAGTGCCAGTCCTGTTATTTTGACAAACAGTCACTACCTCAGGGTGTTTTTTTGGCTATCTTATTGATGGGGGGCAGGGGGGAGGGGGACAGTTTCAAACCGAACAAGCAAGAATTTTGGTGTATGGAAGAGAGCACTTCTGTTTCTGGTTTGGGGGGTTTTTTGTTGGCTTTTTTGGTTGATTATTTTTGGAAGGCACTGAACTTTATTGTGGGTTTTTTTTTAATCCAGAAAACCTCTACAGAGGGGACAGAAAAATCTCATCAACTCAGTATAGCCTAGAGTATAAAGCTTTTTGTGATTATGGATTTCCTGTGAAGTTTTTCAAGATTGGAGAGATCTTCTTTTACAAAGACTGAAATTCAGAGATTTTTTTAAGCCTCTGTACAAACTGTTGTTACTCTTCTGGTTTGTTTTTTTTTTGCTTTTTTCCCCCACTAGTACTATGTGCCCAATTTCTTTAGGTCACTTGAAAAGGTAGGAACCAATTCTTCATGGCAGGTTTCTACTTACCAGTCACACTGTATGAAGTGTGCCATTCATACGGCACTTGAGCCCTTACTAGATGGATGAAATTACAAAGGGCATATCCTGTACAGGGAGTACAAAGGGAAAATAATCCTTTAAAATAGTTGAAAAATCACGTACCTCTTTCTTTGCCACAGTAATATCCAATAAATTGTTGCAACGCAGCTTTATCACTGAACAGTTGAGAGTAAACCTCCACGGTTTTTCATCAGATATAGCAGAAAATAAGGATAGAGCAAGCTGTGGTAAAATTCTTCAGACAGAAGAATTTTACCTGTTACCTGTAAATCCCTTTACACAGGGATTTACCTGTTTCTTAACAGAATAGTCTGTCCCTGTCAAGTGCAATAGAACACCAGACTAAATTTTTATTAACCAGACATACTGTATAGACTAGATTGACAGGCTTTCCTCTGGAAGTGTTAGGTTAATTCAGTTTTATGAAAAAATAGGAATCTTTGTGTAATGGTTGTGTTCATGAATGCTGCAAAAAGCAGCCGCTTCTCTGCAGCTGTGACTGGGATATGAGAAACGAGCAGAAGGCAGACAGTAGTAGGACCTTCAAAAAGAAACAGACACAGCACGCCACAAGAGTTTGCATTTGCTGTTTACGTGTATTTCGGCACAAAAGGTAGGAAAACTAATTCACCTTTTTTGTTAAAAAATTTAGTTGTTTACTTCAAAAGAAACAACATTTTTCTGAAGCGTAACATAACTGTAAATAGTCCTAGTACATAAAATAATTGAGACTGTCAAGTAAGAGTTTTGCACTATCCCCAAGCTCACTGTAGTGACAGAACAGACTTCCATGGCACTGGGAAGGAGCTGGTCCCTCTCCTTTAATGTTCCATGAGCAGTGCTCCACTGACACAAACGCCTCTCCTGGAGGTGCCCCGCTCACAAGAGCAGGGCTAGAAATGCCTCTGAGCTAAGCAGTCAGAAATGACCACATTTAGCATTCAGAATCTCCTGACCACAGATTTGCATTATCTCATTAGTAAGCAGTACTAATGAAAGCTGCTTTTGTTTTCTTTGCCAGACTGACCTAGCTTTCCATCAGATTACAGCCGTTAGGCTAATCCTAAAACGTGACACTATCCATGTCTTCAGTCATTTCCAAATCTCTAATTATGGGGAGGAGGTTTTACTGTTTGTGGGTATCCAGATCTGCATTGCTGTAATACCTACTTTTCTGGTAGAGTTCCTTCAGCTGTGTGGAGCACAGAGAGCGGAGTTCGCGTGCAGACCAGTCAGTTCTGTACCTGCCTTTTTTCCTGACCTCTTTGCACTGTACCTGATGCACTTTATATAGTGTTTGTTGTAATTTGATGTTCCTAACCTGGAATCATAGGGATCTCTCTCTTACCAGCAGAACTGGAATTTTGATCCTGACTAACTGCCTTGTGTCTCGAATAGTGCAATTATCAAGGGGCTTTGAATTTTTGATCATCAAAAAGGGATTGAGTACTGCCAGTTAAAAAGAACTTCTTGATTAACGACCAAGGTTTGTTTACAATGAAAAAAAGAATAAAGTATTATGACTGGTAACATACCTTCTGTTTGTGTTTTACCTCAGCGTAGCTGGGGATCTCTTTCTAGATCTGTATTTGGCTTTTGGCTATGCTTGATGAGAAGTGGGGGGAGTCTTGTGTCATGCAAAAATCTGTCTCTGCTACAGGGTCCTCAATATTTACACCAATTGAAATATCATATCTTTAAAAGTCCTCCCAGTAGCTAGGTAGCTAGCTCAGCCTCATACATGTACTCTCAGACCAGTAATCCTCTTTAGAGAGCTTTGCAAGTTAATCTAACTCTCCCTTACAAGCCTCCCTTTGAGACAGCTAAATGAGCTTTAGTTCCCTCATTTTACAGATCAACCTAGGAGGTATAAATCACTTGCCCAAGGTCAAAAAGAGTAGCTTGTGTGTCTATGGAAACATGTTGTTATATATCTTATGTTAAATATACAATTAGACTTCTTTGAGAAGAAGAGCATTGACCAACAAGGGCAAAATGTTTCAGCCTAGAGACACTTTCTGCTTTTTTAAAGAATAGTTTCTATTGCTCCTGAAAGCCGCTCTCAAGCAGAGAGTCACACACAGAGAAAGCTGGCCAAGCCTGACCTGCTGGATAGCTTTCTACTGCTACAGTGAAAGGTAGAGTGACAGGGAGAAACCCAAAGGGACTTTAAAATGTTACCCAAGCTGAGTTCTCTACATTTGTAAAGGCAGGTGCAGATAACAGCAACACCAAGTAAACTGGTTCAGCAATTGCAAAGGAAGATACAGTCTGCTGTTGTAAAAAGAAAATGGCTTTATTTAGTATTGCTCAGAGGTAGCACAGGACTGATCTGCATAGGTAGCATCCAGACAGAAAGAATTAATCATAAAATCAACATTTGTTTCCCAAAACTGGTAGTTGGTCACAGTGGCACACTCATATACAGGTCCAGAAACTTCTGGACTTTTATTGCCGTGGTACTTGTTTTCTAACTGCTTAATTCTTTCAGAAATCATCTCTGGTTATGGATCGCACTCTAGCAATTTGTATCGAGGAGTGCAGGAGTTCCAAGGGAGCAGAGCAGTCCCAAGGCTACGTGGATGGACCCAGCTGCCTTCAGCAGCACGGGCTGTACGGTGCTGCAAGGCCAGAAACTGCTGGCAGACAAACGTAAGGATTTCTGTGCAAGTCTTACTTTCCTGTCCTGTAGCTCATGTGACTATCTTGATAATACAGTTGTGACCTCTGCTTCAGCTGTAGGTAGTCTGCTGTCATTTAAAGCTAAAGTAATTTCTGTTTTTTTTTAACATAGCTGAGATGTTTTTTACTCATTCTGCTCTCTTTTCTAGGTTCTAAAGTCATTTAAAGTGCAGCTGGGGGGTTTATTGTGACAACTTTTATACCATCTTTGCTCAGTGCTTCACAGGAGAGATGTTAATTTTTCTTAATAAGATAACTTGCGTATGCACAATTGCAGCACTTCTGCAGCTTTTAACCTCCCGGGCAACTGCCCTGAGACCTGGGTTCTCAAATGCCAACCCTCAGGTAACTTACTGCAATCAATGAGCATCTGGGGCCAAGATACTTCAGTGGCCATGGTCCAACTTCTTACAGAGAATATAGTGAAAAATAACCGATTCGACTTAAAAATGTTACCTAATGGTACAAAAAGGCCAGCACCTGTTTCCGTGTGCTTGAGAGCATTTGTATTGCATGTAATTGCCAGAACAGTCTAAATTCCTAAAGTATGTTCATTCTGCCAGGTCAAATAGTAGGAACTGAAAATAACCTCACAAATCATAAGTTTAGAGTCCTACCTCATTACTATTACTGTTAGGGAAAAAAATTAATTAAATAAAGGTAATTCTTTGTTACTTCATAATCTAAACCTAAGACCACAACCTCCATTTCTATTCTAAAGCCAGAGAACAGTAGTCTCTGGCTGTTGTGTGAGATACCAAGTGGAGGTTACTCCCTGCATCGGCGCTCTAATTCTCCAGCTAGGAAGGGGCACTGGTTGCTCACTAATCTCAATCTTTAGATGTAGTATTCCAGAAATTCATATTAGATTGTGTTCACAGAGCCATCATGAGGGCAGCTGAAGCATCGGTGCTCTAGTCTTGAGGTCTCTCAGCTGTGCTCTTCCCAGGAGAAGCATCGCTGGGCTCAGCCAGCTACACGCTTGAAGTCTGCGCCGCTCAGTCCCACTGGATGCCGAGGAGCTCGCAGCTCACACTCCAGAGCTTCTTTGCTGTCTCATCATCCCGACCCCATGGAGATACATATGCTGGCTTGCAGTCACTGTAAGGGGAACATTTTTGTATTTATTTTTTTAAGTCAAAGATCTCCACCTGCATTAGCACACTGAAATGTCTGTTCGGGTAAGGGAGTTGCTTTCTATTAGCTTAACTTCAAGACCAATTGAGGGTGGGAGGTGATCCAGCAACTGAGCAAGGGTTGGTGCTAAGACACCTTGAGAAAGCTTTCTTTCCAACTGGCTAGGGAAGAGTGACCCCCATGGAACCAAGAACCGGCAAGTCTAGCACTATCTGTTGTCTCAACTCTTAAAGAAACCTATATACCTATATATGCTCTACTGTATACTCTTCAGTGTACGTTGTCTTAACCCACTAAAAAGGTGTGTAAATGCTAACCAAGCTTCTTCAGGAGCACCTTTTCTAGAAAACACCACAAAAAAGCCACTCAAACAGCCCTTCATTATGAACTATTCATCCTACTCTATTGCCACTGCATGAAAAGCAAAACTGCCCCAGAATAATAACACTGTAATAAGCATGTCTGGTTAGCCCCTTTTCCATTATCCTCTCAACTGTGGCTCCTTTCTTCTCAGCTCCTGCAGTCAGCCAGCACTCTGTCTGCAACAGGGATCATGTGTCCTCAGCTATAATGCTACATGCTCAGTAACACGGGGGGGGTTAGGAGAATAGAGGAAATTGCCTCTTGTAAGCTTTCTGTCCAGCCTAATGTTTTTAGAGCTTCAAGTTCCTCAAATGGCTCCGGTGGACTCCACCTGCCTTGCTGTGGCATGCACATTCTTTTCTTAATGTCTAATACTTGTGGTTTATGGTCTGTTGCCTGGATTTTAGGCTAGTCCAGTGTAAACTCTGAATTACTGTTGAAGCTATTAATTTCTCACCAAGTCCAAAACTCCTTTTTTTTTATGAGTTTAAAATCCACCAAAGTTTTCTGCCTGTAAATGCTCCATTTATATCCTGGGACAGACAGTCATCCAGGGAAGATTAAGACATCTATTTATATATTCAAGTCTGATTAAGATGGTACAAACTCCCAAGTGAAGATCTGACAAAGTCATTACAGAGACTAATCCAGTCACGTATCACAACAGGAAAGCTCTGCAAAGCTGAGTTGAATTTAAAAAAAAAAAAAAAAAAGACTCCTTTTCTTGCTTGTTCCCCAAAACCAGCATCATTACACTGCTCTACACCCAGTGGAAAGCTGACAGACACATCTGAACAAAGCTGTTCAAATGGCAGGCTTCAAATCTAGGATGATGATTACTTGGAACTGCTCTGGGCTATCGTTTTGGTGAGGGGAAAAGGCATGACTAGGCAGGGTCCTGCAGTAAGTCAAAGAAGTCAAGAAACAACAGGGTTTGTAGTGGGAGCTACAAGACAGTTTCTAGGACAATGAGTGCCTCCCAGCTGGTGGGTCTGTCACACTGGAGAATCAAGCCATTTTCTCACATGCCAGTCCCAAAAATCTCCTCTCCTCGCACTGCAGCACCATCAGCCCTCCCAGCTCCCTGGGTGCACAGGCCCCTTCTGCTCCAGTGGGGTAAAACTACAAAGAAAACCAAGTTGGTCTTCCCAGGATTGACTCAAGTGACCTCATTAACTAAACAGCTCTGCTGAAAAGTGATTTGCCCAAGTCCTAGGCAGATCAGGATTAGAGCGCTGAGCATGTGACAGCCCTTCCTGCTCTTTGAGTACAGCGATGTTCCTAGCACCAAATGACCTGCTATTGTGTGGAATGTTGCACAGATCAGGGATTTCTTCTAACACAATATCCACTGCAACAGACCTGGAGGGGTAACGCTCTAGTATTTGTCAGCCTCAGTCTATCAGCCAGCCTCTTACCCAGTCCCTTCTTAATGAAGAATGACAGTAAGTCTCATTTTCCTCAGCCAACAAGGCTGCCTTCCCTCCATAGTCTGCCTCCCTCCGCCAGTGATTCTCCATCTGCTTGCACCCACCTGAAATACTGTCCTGTCACAGAGTCTAGTTCTTCTGCTACGGCACAGTAGATGCTGGTCTGAGCTCCTTCCTGAGGTGTCTTCAAGAAGAATGAGAATATCTTCCACAGCCACGTCATTACAAACGAGTGCCGGACCAGCTCAGAATGGACAGAACCAGGATGGAGAGCATTTGCTGTGACTTTAGTGCCTATGACAAAAGAAAGCAGTCCAGGACAACTCTGCATGCATCAATCAGTCTTTAAAAGAAAGGGTAATATATTCCTCAATTCTACCCGCAGATATTTTACAACTGAAAGGAGAAGTCTAGGCATGGACACAGGAAGATTAAGTGAAACTCACAATAGTTACCACTTGCTGGAGCATCCCCCACTCCCTTCCAAACACTGCAGTCTGCTTTCTGCAAAACAATGTGCTAGAGGGACTGGGTGCTAAAACAGCAGCAGTTTCCATCAGGCTTTTGAGAACACCAGGTTCTTTTGATTTACTGTAATTCTTATTTCCTAGAGAAGACACGACTACTTAAGTTTATGAAAAGGACTGCATGGCATGGCTGTGACAGATGTTAGGATTTAAGAGGTACTGTCTAGTCCTTCGTTTTTATAGACAGTAAACACAGGCAGCTGAGTATCCCTCAGCTTTTCCATTGCAGACCGCAACTGTAGTTTAACTCCTGTTTTTTCAGCTTCCCTCCACGTACCAGTGGATACAGCTAGTTTTTTCACAAGCGCCAAAGAAAAATGAAATCCATTAAACTGTGCCAGGCTACCAAACTCCTCTGCCCTGTTGCTGTAAAGACAATTAGTGCTTTAAGTCTCCTGGTTCCACAGTCAAGAAATATTTTCTTCCTGCATCAAATTGCTGTCGGTGACCCTTGCCTCAAACTATTTCATTTCTACATAGCAAATTTCCAGACTTTTCTTCGACCCACCCTCCTCATCCCGCCCATGGTGCTCAAAAGCCAAGCAGAAAACCACTCTGCTCTCCCCTGGGACTTGCCTTGCAGCCGCCGCGCCAGCTCCCGAGTGAAGAGCACGTTGGCCAATTTGCTGTGACAGTAGGCGAGGCCACGGTTGTAGCTCTTCTCACCATGGAGGTCATGGAAGCGGATTCGTCCCCCGTGATGAGCCAGCGAGGACACGTTCACTATGCGGGCGGGGGCAGACTGCTTCAGGCACTCCAGCAACAGGAAGGTCAAGAGAAAATGCCCTAGGGGTGAGAGGAAATGTCATCCTTCCCTGGAGCATTATTCCCCTGCTGGAATTTTAAAGTACTTTCAACATACCACTTACATGTTATATCTTACTACTGCCCATGTTTCAAGTCCAGGGAAAAGAACACCCCCTTGCATCAACAGTTAAAGTTTTTTGAGCTATTAAGCTCTGCTCCTCAGCTCCAAAAAGCTGCAGCTGTCATATATTTCAAATGTCCCAAGTAACATGTACATATACTTAAACTGGGTCTATAATAAGCAAATACACGTCTCCAGAAGAAGGAAGGATGAGGAAGAAAAAGTCTGAAAGCAGGATTTTCCTCTGGCATTTTGCCACAAATATTGAAAGCAAGCACAACTTCTCTGGCCTTACCAAGATGATTGACTCCCAGGTGCATCTCGAAGCCATCAGCAGTCTTGGAGTACGGGCATAACATTACCCCAGCATTATTAATGAGAATATGGAGCTCCTTCTCCTCTGCAAGAAGCAACAGACATCCTTAAACGGAGACCAAAGACAGACAAGAAGGTGGCACAAGCCTGCCAAAAAAATCCCACACCTGTCTTGAGTTGCAGCCACATCACCTCAATTAAATAAGTCTCCTCCCACAAACTAGCTCCTGGGCCTCTGAAAAGGCCCTGCTTTGAACCACAGTGCCCAGTGTGGTACAGAGATATGCAGGGCAGGGATCTGGCATTTGTTAGAAGAGCAGCCAGCTGTCCTTGGTAAAATATTCTCACTGAAAAGAAGGATCTAGAGACTGTACCTGCTAGAAATTTCTCAGCAAACTCCCGGATGGACTTCGTATCAGCCAAGTCCAGTTTTTTCACAATGACTTGCTGGTTCCCCGTCTCAGCTCGGATTTCACTGGCTGCAGCTTCTGCCTTCTTTATGTCTCTGCAAGCGACAATCACCCTCGCACCTGCACGGAGGGGCAAAAGCAGGAACAGAAGCTGAGATCTCTGGGAGCATTCTGGATGATCAGGGCTATACCAAATAGGCTGAATATGCACAGGACTTGCAAACAACATACTGTTTCTTTAGGGAACCGGCATCAAGTCAGGGGAGTAGCTGGGAGGGACAAAGCCTTTCCTACTATGTTGTTAGCTCCGACCCAGCCCAAAGCTATTTTCAGACCAGACAGTGCACAACTCAAGTGCCTCTGTCCATGTTCTCCCAGGCCAGGAGTGTGTACCTCTACACTGGTATGATAGGCTTACGAATGCCCCTGTAACGGAATCTTCAAGCCAGGACTACATGAAGATACTTGGATTCCAGCCACAGTTATTTCTAAACGGATTGTGAACAGGTAGTTTAATCTCCTTACCAGTTACCCAAAAAGCATTTAAACCAAATTAGCTTGAAACGTGAATAACTAAAGCCCACAGCAGCGGACCTATGGCATTTCCCAGCTTCATAGATGAAGAACCCAGTGCTACCAGGAACTTCTCCCGGCCCCTCAAGACGGCAGCAGTGCAGAGCATTCTCATGTCACAGGGCACCTTTTTGGAGTTCAAAGGAGGAAACCAGCTGAGGAGCTGGGGACTTGCACCTCAGTGGTTACACCTGGGCTCGTCTGAAATGACTGTGGAATCCAACTCAGATGTAAGCATCACGTACTGCCCCTTAGGTCCCCAAAAGGGACCGCTGATGCACGTCAGCCGCGGGGGGATGCCCGCTGCTGATGGCTGGCCACTTGCCTCTTCGGGCGAGGTCCCTGGCCGTCTCCTTCCCGATGCCTGTGTTGGCTCCTGTGATTATGGCCACCTTCCCCTCCAGCCTGACTGTCGACTTGCACCGTCCACCAGCGACATACCTTCTGCAGGAGAGAGGTGAGGAGGACGAGGTCCCGGGGCTGCTTCCCTCCTTCGGGGACCCAGGGTCGGGCACCCCAACACCCCGGGTTCGCCCCGAGGCTGTCACAGGCACCGTTACCTGGAGGCGGTTGATCACGACCGTGTCGTGACCGGGCCACAGGGTCAGGTTCTCGCTCGCCCTCCAAACCCCCCACCGGCTCCGCGGCCCGGGACAGACCCCGCCGGGGCTGAGCCGAGCCCCGGGAGCGCCCCTCTGCCCGCCACCGGCACCTTAACGTTAGCGAGGCGCTGGAGCTGGGGCTGCGTGAACGGCGCCCTACCCCAGCGCGGGGGAGAGAACCGGGACCCCTTTCACCCGCGCTCCCCTCAGAGGCGCAGGGGCAGACCTAGCCGCCGCGGGGCGGAGGCGCTCGGTGAGACGCACCTGATGTAGGGCGCTGCCACCAGGAGGAGGACGGGGACGGAGACGGCGGCGCCGAGCGCGGCTCCCCAGCAGTCGAACATCGCCGCTGCCCGCTCCA